AGTGTTTTAAGAAGCACAGATTGACCCGCCCACCCACCTCCCTAAACTCAACCTATAGTGTTTTCAGAAGCACAGATTGACCCGCCCACCCACCTCCCTAAACTCAACCTATAGTGTTTTCAGAAGCACAGATTGACCCGCCCACCCACCTCCCTAAACTCAACCTATAGTGTTTTCAGAAGCACAGATTGAACCGCCCACCCACCTCCCTAAACTCAACCTATAGTGTTTTCAAAAGCACAGATTGACCCGCCCACCCACCTCCCTAAACTCAACCTATAGTGTTTTCAAAAGCACAGATTGACCCGCCCACCCACCTCCCTAAACTCAACCTATAGTGTTTTCAGAAGCACAGATTGACCCGCCCACCCACCTCCCTAAACTCAACCTATAGTGTTTTCAGAAGCACAGATTGACCCGCCCACCCACCTCCCTAAACTCAACCTATTGACCTTATTCTAAAACGCGGAAGTGCGCCTGTTTTTGCGATTGTCTTAGAACTTCCGATTCAGTCGCCTATGGGAGAAATGACTAGGAACAATAAACGGCAGAAAATGGCCAAACTACTTGCTCAACAAACAAATGTTTGCATGACTATACAGACCAAGTAGCATAATATAATAAGAAAATATTAAATTGCAACATCAAGCAGCGTAACGAGCAGTTGTTAACGTCAAAAAATGAATGGAAGTGATTGTGACCGGAAGTCGCGAGACAAAAAGATTCAAATGGCAGCGCCCGCTCGACAGCTGAGAATAAGGTGAATAGTGTTTTCAGAAGCAAAGATTCACCATCTTCCCTAAACCTAACCAATAGTGTTTTCAAAAGAACCGATTGACCCGCCCACCCAGTTCCCTAAACCCAACCAATAGTGTTTTCAAAAGCACAGATTGACCCGCCCACCCAGTTACCTAAACCCAACCAATAGTGTTTTCAAAAGCACTGATTTCCACCCTCATTGCCAACACGAGGAGATCGTGCAAACTCAACACAGAAATGCCAACGTACCCAGCCGAGGCTCAAAACAGTGACCCTATTGTTGTAAGGCGATAGTGTTAAAAATTTTTATTAAATTACAATTATTATGTTTAGAAATGTGCTAAAAAAATCTCTCCATTAAACAACAACTTACTAACAGCACAATATTTGAAAAGGAATACAAATTTCACTGGAATTCAAATAATTTTGGCTTCAACTGTATTTAAGTTTAAAAAATAAGTTACTTATTATTATTATTATTATTATTATTATAATTATTATTATTACTATTTGGGATTGTTTTATTCATTCAGTTTCCTTCGGCTTAGTCTCTTTATTCATCATTGGTCGCCACTGCGGAATGAACCGCCAACTTATACAGCATATGTTTTACACAGCAGATGCCCTTCCAGCTGCAACCCAGTACTGGGAAACACCCATACACTCACATTCACACACATACTCTACATCCAATTTAGTTTATTCAATTCACCTATAGCACATGTGTTTGGACTGTGGGGGAAGCCGGAGCACATTGGAGGAAACCCACGCAAGCTTGGGGAGAGCATGCAAACTCCACGCAAAAATGCCAACAGGCCTAGCCAGGACTCGAACCAGCGACAGTGCTAACCACTGAGCCACTGTGTCACCCTTGTTTTGTTTTAAAATTATTTATTTATTTATTTTTTTTACCAACTCACAAAACCCCTGCGCTTCTCTCATGAGACACTGATTTAGATCGTAAATCCTTGGTTAATCTCATTCGTTGTGCACAGTTGAGATTGTGAGAGCAAGATCAGTGTAAGTGTGTGACGCCGAGTGTCTCTCCTACTGTAAGGTCAATACATGGGGGAAGGGAGATTATTGTTTCTGTGGTGCTGCTGAGTCAAATACTGTGATGCAGGCTTAAAGGGATAGTTCACCCAATCTACACTTGAAGTCTAAATAATTAGCCCACCTACATATTTTTTCCCCCAATTTCTGTTTAACGTAAAGATTTTTTTTTTAAACTAGTTTCTAAGAACTGATTTATTTAATCTTTTCCATGATGACAGTAAATAATATTTGACTATATATTTTTCAAGATACTAGTATTCAGCTAAAGTGACATTTAAAGGCTTAACTAGGTTAATTAGGTTAAAGTTAGGGTAATTATTGTATAACGATGGTTTGTTCTGTAGGCAATAAAGGGGCTTAATTGCTTAAGGGGGCTAATAATAAATGTTTAATTAAACTGTTTTTACTCTAGCTAAAATAAAGCAAATAAGACTTTCTCTTGAAGAAAACATATTATCAGACATACTTTGAAAATTTCCCTGCTCTCTTAAACATAATTTGGGAAATATAAAAAAATAAATAAAAGGGGGCAAATAATTTTGACTTTAACTTTATATGGTAGATAAAAATGACTATGGTAGTCAATGGGTGCCCGCAACCAGCGTTTTTTCAAATGATCTCCTTTTGTGTTCAACAGAAATAAAGAAACACGCATAGGTTTTGAATAAGTGAAAGGTGAGTAAATTATGTGGACTGTGTCTTTAAGTTCATTAAAAAAATGCTAATTTTGTTCCAAGTCATGTGGTGATGTGGTGTACTCTTAAAGGGACAATACAATAAAAATGTTAATTCTGTCCGAGTTACATTAATTAATGTGAACCATTGCCTGCCTAATCATAATGTCTTGTATTTAGCAATCAACTGCATCCTTTCTTATTTATTGGAGTCTGTTAACGGGATAGTTCACCCAAAAATAAAACATTTCTCTTCCTCAAGTGGTTCTAAACCTTTTTAAGTTTCTTTCTTCTGTTGAACACAAAATAAGACAGTGTTTCCTCTAGAGTTTTTTTCCAGTCTTTTACACAAATCTACCAACGACGTTATTTTAATGACAAATGGAGAAATGTCGTGAGCACAGTATTACAAGTTGAGATCGCATTTATGTAATACGAGCATGCGAATCTCTTTGCTTGCGTGCCAATTTCCTCTGCTCGTGCACAAATCGTTTTGCACGCTTTTAATAGAGCTGCATGATTCTGCCTAAAATGAGAATTCTCTCACAATTCTGTCAATGTAAAGTAACTCTAGACATTTATTTTCACGCACAACTGTGTTCACTATGAAAGAAAAAAATATATCAAATGCTTGTCGCAGTTATAACTCTAAAATGCGATATGATTATTTAAATGATATGCACACTTTCAGTTTCATTTCACTGCTAAGTGCTGTTCATACCTTACACGCGGCTCTCAAACGATCACTCTGTTCCACAAACTCAATATTATTTACAACTTTATTACCTGTTACTCACAGCAGGTTCTGTTCACTCAAGGAGCCGCGTGCGCGTCTAACATTAAGTAGGACGCGCACCCGCACTACAGCTCACGGTCAGGAGCACAAGTCACGTGTTTTTCCTGGCCGCGAATACAGCATTATATGAAGACAAAAATGACATTTTTAGGTGAATTATACCTTATAAATACAGTATGTGACTCATTCAACACCATTTGGAGGTGTCAATGTCGCTGAGCAATGTATGTGAGAGATCGAAAAGACTCGTGCAGCCGCCTTTGCTTCTCTCCTGAGCTTAAAAATATGATTGGCAGAATCGTAGAAATGCTGGATTAAGATTGTCTAGGGGGTCAAATCGAGATCGCAATTTTGTTTACGATTAGTTGTGCAGCTCTAGCTTTTAATAAATACTTTATTAAATTAAGATCAATTGGCCATTATAAATAAACATATTTGTACTTCAGTAAACATAAATAAACCATCTTAATTTTCTCGGTGCTGAAAAAATGTGAGACTGTAGTCTGTAACTTGGATCGAGTGATTTTGTAAGATGACAAAAGCCCACATCTCCAATCACCGAAAACGGCTGCAAATCTTAAGCAATGAACACCCCCACTGCCTTTTTATTTTTATGTGTCTCTCGGAACTAGTTGGGTATGTTTGCTTGAAGGATTCAGCGAGGGATTGTTGCTATTTGAAGGACTGTATTACCTTCTCTGCTATCCTGCCTTCAGACAGTGATATTGCTGGGTGATGGCGCTGCAGATGTGCAGTCATGGTTGTACGTGTAAAACAATGCTTGCACACAGTTATTTTTTGTTCACTGTTATTTCTTTTATTGGCATTATACTTACTGGCAAAACCGAAATGTCCTCACACCGCAGATTTGAAAGACACCGGCGCTTCCTTGTACTGTCTCCGCTCGCCACGTTAAAGTGTGGAATGATGGTTAGTGCCCCCTAACTTTAGAGCATAGTGATTGGATATTTACTCGCGGGGAGGAGTTTCTCCATCTCAGCTCGTAGACTTAGAGGCACGCACAGTCAATTCAAGGAGATATAAAATGCACTTAAATTATTTAAACGTAAAACCGAGAAAACCGCAATTTACAAGCGCGTATTTAACCGTGGAGGTCGTACCAAACGGTTCAATGTTATATTGAGAATCGTAGCATTTCTAGTATTTACTGAATTAATTGTCAAACTTTTTAAATAAAAAAAAATCTTTTGATCTTAATTATTTGCTTAAAGTTGCTAAAAAAAATTAAGTAAAGTTATATTTTAACAATACATACAGGTTTACTGTTCATATTAGACTTCTACAATAATGAACCTCTCTTTAAGAGTTATTTAATCTTGTAATGTGAATGAGTTATTTTTTATTATTTTATTTTAATTGCATTTTTATTATTAATTTATATAAAAATGCTTATTTTTTAATGTTATTTAACAGATATTTTTCTCCCCCATCTTTATGCTGATATGTTTATCAGTACAGCAGTGACTCATACTGTTCATAAGATTATAATAAGTGTAAAATATTTGTCACATAATAAGTTGTGAATTACGGAGTGAGAATCCAGTGCTGCTGTCAGATCAGCTATAATAATTCAGTCTATTTGCCTGAAAACAGCGTGTGAAGCTATCAGATATTGTTGGTCTGAATGATCTGTTGGTGTTTGGGTTTTATGTTATGTTTAATTATAATTCCTTTATTTATTTATTTTTTTGCAGGTGTGCAGTCATGCTGTCCAGACTGAGCACGAGTGTGAGGCCGTGTGTGAGCATGTGCAGATGGGTTCACACTAAAGAGAAGGGAAAACCGCTCATGCTTAACCCGCGCACTAACAAGGTTACACTTTACAAACATATTTATTCATCTATTTTGTTTAACTGTTGTATTTTTGTTATTATTTTTTATTATTACTACTAAGGGCCCTATCATACACCCGGCGCAAGGCGCGGCACAATACTTGTTTGGTTGTTTCAGCTTGGCGCAAGAGTCGTTTTGAGGCGTTGCGCTACGCTGTTTAAATAGCGAATGCATTAGCGCTCATATGTGCGCCCATAGGCATCTGGTCTAAAAAGGAAGGCGTTCTGAGGCGGACTGCTGGCGCGTTGCTATTTTGAGAAACTAAAATAGATTTTTCATTAGACCAAAACTAACCCGGTCTAAACTCCGCGCCTCGCTTACACACTGCTTAATACGCACAAGAGAGCAATAGGCAAATATCTTTACATATGAAAAAAATATAATATTAAGGATATATATAGGATATAATAAGAATAGATATAGAATATAAATATAAAGGATTAAAATATTACAAAACATTATTTTCTAGCCTACATAAATATGAAAAATCACTGCTTTTATATCTTCTTCATCTCGGGAGGCTTTTTCAGTTCATTCATAACAATTTGCTTTTGTATAATGTTATTATTATTAGCAGTATTATTTATTATATCCATATTTATATTTGTTTTATTAAAAACAAGCTTAGATTTGCCCACCTGTCAGGTTTTAGACCATAAGGGGCACAGCATGTGTTTTAGGATATAACTCAGGTTTTTGAGCACATTTTGTTATTATTGTTCATTTATTTGTTTGCTGGAAATTAGAACTGAATTTAGAAATAGTTTTGAAACGAATTTTTGCGCTTAACAAACGCAATTAATTATTTAGACTAATTGATGTCTGTGCATAAAGGTTTCCCTATCCAAGAGCGAAAGTGAAAGTGATCCATTATCTCTCATTCTCACGCAATTTGAGAAATGCTCAGTTTTTCCACTTAGACTTACTTTGCGTCCTGTAAATAGCGAATGCGCTCTTGGCGCGACGCAGCTGGGTCTTAAAGGGAATGGGGGATGAGACTCTAATTGGTTTATTCTCAAAAAACACCTATAACTCATTAAGAAAATAAACTGAACCCTTTTAGCCCATGCGCCTTGGCGCAAAGCGGATTTTCCCTTCCGTTAATTAGCAAAAATGCGTTCTGACACGCCCTGAAAGCGTTTGCGCCCTGCATTTTGCGCTCTGCGCATGGACCGTCAAAATAGAGCCCTATATGTCTAAAAGCTACAATCTAGAATGAAAGAAAAAAAAAAGTGTATTTTTATTATAGGTGTGCATAGATTAATTTTTTTCATTATTTAGATTAATCTCACTGTAATCTTAGATTTGATCTAGATTAATCTAGATTAAAATGGCTCATTTGAATTCTGCCGAGGGGATTCAGAATATGTGTGCTACCCAAATAATGACTAAAAGTAAGTCTTTGAGAACGGGTTTCTCAAGCCAGGTGGCGCATTAGACCAGGGGCTCATCTCCTGTTTCCAAAATGCATCACAAACTGCTTGAGAAACTGTTCTACTATGATAATTGGTGATGAAAATAAATGTTGTTCAATTAGATGTACTTGTGTTTACTAACGGTTTATTCAGTTAAACGTGAGTTTTGAAGTGTGGGCCTACAGAAGCTCCAAACAGCCATTTTTGATCACCTTAATTTGACTAAAGTCATAACTAAACTAAACAGAACTGGAATTAAGACATGTGGAGTATGCAGATATTATTGAAATAAACACCGCAATCAAACTATTACTGTCATGTAGGACTTTCCGCCATATTTTCCGACAAGATCCACACACATAGCTGTCAGTAAAGTATTAAACACACATAAATGCGAAATGTGGAAGTTTTTTTCTTTCCATTCATTATTACACTCTCACCAGTCCTTACTCCTTATTTGCGTCGAATACCCCACTTCGTAAACACCCTAATTATATTATTGTCTATTAAGGCAAATAACTAGACTACAGATGTCCATGTAAGCGTAGTCAGTAGTGTCTTTGAAGTAAGTGAAAGATCCAGAAGGGCATCCTGCTGATTTGATTCAGAAGGGCACTTTTTTGTCAGACGGCTCACCGGTTTAACTTTCATTCACCGTCATTCATTTTAAAAAGCACCTGGTCTATTTTATTTGTTTACGTTTTACTCGAACGCATAAACTCTACGGGTGCCTATAGTCAGATATGGAGCTAACATTAATCAGATTCAGTCTAGTGAACTGCATCCATGTTAGCACGTCATGTTTGATGTGGTAATTTCACAGTAGGAATACACACAGGTTTGAAGACTCGTTCCCCTTCGGGGGGAACTTCAGCACTATAAGTGGATTTGATTTGTAAAATCCACGCATTGGGAGGTTCGGTTCAGAAGCTACTCGTCTGAAAGAGTATTGAACGGGCCAATTAAGAATGAATTGGCAGCGCAAGCCTGCGCAGGTGAGCGGCATAAGCAATCAACTGAGTATATAAGCTCACCTGGCGCCAGCAGACGCTATCCTTTTCGCTTCAGAGACTTTCTGATCGAGTCGATGAGGGTTCCTCCTGCTGTGACCAGCGATTCTGAGCGAACGAGAGCATTCTCCCGGTCCAGAGTGTGTACACGCAGTGGCAGACGGTCGAGCTGGGTTTCTCCCTTGCCTGGCGTTCTTTGGGTCCGGTCCTCCAGAGCGGTGCGTATAAAGTTGCAAACTTCACAGAAAGAGCAACACAGTCGTGCAGCACGTCCTTATCAGGACGGCGCTCCGACTGTGCGTTTCTGGATGCGGTGGTTTCCTGTCCTCGGATGATGGGCGCGGGCACTGCGTTACATGTCTGGGGGTCCAGCATGTTAATGCGCTGCTCGCGGGCAGTTCATGTCGTCATTGCGATGCCATGACTGTTGCGCAAGATCGCGGTTAGCCTTTGCAAAAGGGTGAACCACCCCAGTTGTCCCCTGCTCTGCAGCGGGCACTCGGGCAGATCTGAGGGTTTCAGCGAGAGATAATCCGTCGCCCACGGGCCCGCGGACCTCCCGCTCCTCTAAGCGCTCCATCCAAGCTTCGGGCGGGGGAAGCGATCCGTCTAACAGATGGTAGCCCTTACGCCCGATGACACCGGAGACCAGATGTCCACCGCGGCATCGGAGGGTGGGCTTTCATTGTCCGATGATGATCCAGACCCGCTCGCCCCCTTCGGGCTGGTGAGCGCTGTCACTACGGATCCTGAAACGGACATGTTAGCCGTGCTTTCCCGGGCTGCTTCGGCCGTGGGTTGGAGATGGTTTATCCCCCAGCTCCGCGGCCGGACCGACTAGAGGGGCGTTCCCTTCTTCCCGGAGGTGCACAGTAGGCTCACGCGGTCATGTAAAGCACTTTTTTCTGCTCGTACTGCGTGTTCCTCCACCCTAACCACTCTTGACGGTGAAACAGCCAGGGGGTATGTGGCGATTCCTCAGGTTGAGTGCGCGATGGCGGTAAATCCGCGCGGCGCCTCTTCTTGGCGGGATCGGCCTCGTCTCCCATCCAAAGCCTGTAAGTTATCTACCTCCCTCGGAGCTAGAGCTTACATAGCTGCGGGCCAGGCTGCTTCCGCCTTGCATGCGATAGCCACCTACTAGCGCTACCAAGCGCAGGCGCTGGCCGAGCTGCACGAGGGTGGGTCCAACCCAGGCTTACGAGCTTCGCACCGCCGCCGACTTAGCTCTTCGGACTACTGAGTCCGCTGCGTGTGCGTTGGGGAGGACAATGTCCACATTAGTGGTCCAGGAGCGCCACCCCTGGCTGATATGCGCAAAGTCGACAAAGTCCGCTTTCTTGACTTCCCCATATCCCCAGCCAGGTTCGGCGACACTGTCTGTGAATTCACCCAGGAATTCAAGGCGGTGAGAGAGCAGTTGGTGGGTGATGTCTTATCGGCGGTCCGTAGCCCGCTCCGCCCGCCGTGCCATTCATACCTGCTCCTCGCCGAAGGCGCCCGCCTACGAGAGCTGCTCCGCCCCCGCACACGCCTCAGGCGAAGCGAGCGCGTCGGGCACCTCGGAAGCAGGCAGCCCCCCTGCCCAGAACGCCGCTAAGTCCGGCAACGGACCGCGAAGCGCCCCTGGGACAGGCCATCTGGAGAAGAGGGAACTTGCTCTTTCCCCGCTGGAGGGCGGGGCCCCATTTCCAACGGCACTTTTTACTGCCATGAAAACATTATGAAAGGGCACTTTTCACTTCCCCAGATGTGACAGCCCGAAATCTGCCAGTCTGGGACGCTATGCTTTCTAGCTTGCAGATTCGGTGCGTTTCGCCAGTGGCTCACGAGCGCTGGGAGGACGGTCTCCTTTCTCCCACCCCTCGAGCCTCCCCTCCGGAGCTCGGGTTTGGAGTGAGAGCAAATATCTCACCTCCAGCTTTTCCGTGGGACCCGCGAGCTTCCCGGATCAGCACACCCACTCCGCGCTGCCCCACTGCTGGTACGTCAGCGATTGTAGCGATGAGTCCATTAGCGAGAGCTCTGCCTGCCTGGTTAGCGCGGGCCAGCTCTTCGCGGTGGCTCATACGCACAATCAGACTCGGCTATGCGATTCAGTTCGCGAAACGGCCCCCCAAGTCACGGGTGTGTATTCACCAGGGTCAGCCCCCTGTCCGCCCCTGTCTTGCGAGAGGAGATTGCTGTCCTCCTGGCGAAGGATGCAATCGAGCCGCTCCCTCCAGCCGAGATGGAGAGTGGGTTTTACAGCCCACGCTTCATCGTGCCCAAAAGAGCGGTGGGTCACGGCCAATCCTAGATCTGCGCGTTTTGAACCGCTGCCTGCACAAGCTGCCGTTCAGAATGCTCACGCAGAAGCGCATCCTCCGGTGCGTTCGTCCTCTGGGTTGGTCTGCAGCATTAGACCTGATGGACGCGTATTTCCATGTCTCCACTCTTCCTCGCCACCGACAGTTTCTGCGGTTTGCGTTTGAAGGTCGAGCTTGGCAATACAAAGCCCTCCCCTTCGGGCTCTCTCTGTCTCCGCGGGTCCTCACCAAGCCCGCGGAGGGTG